CAAGAATTTTAAATTAGTACACAAAAAAGTCAATGTAAAAGTTACCTATCTACTATTGAAACAATGAGATATGAGTGGAAAAAGTATATTTATTTATTTAAAAGTAATTTATTTTAAATTTTTCAATAATTATTATTAGGTACGTACCTACTCCTATTTTTGCGTTTCATAGGTAGGTGTGTTTAAATTAGTAGGTAACATAATGTTATTATGAATTTTTTTTATGTTTAATATATAATAATTTTAATAAAAACCATTACTATTAGTTTATTATTATCTATTTATTTAGTATTGATCATAATAATATAAATAGACGCTCGGCTAGACTGTATGCACAATATTTGGCGTGTATGGGGTTGTTACTTGTTATTTTTTAAGCCAGAATTGAGTGCTGATATTAACCTCGGATCAAGTAATTGACTTATTGTATGAAAAAAGTACAGACATTTTAAAAATGTTGAAAGTTTAGTTTTTAAACATTTTAATCAACTATTTAGGTTCATGTTAATTGTATAGTTTTTTCTTAGTGTAAGAAATGGGTGTTGACCAGTTGCCCCCCACGGCTGTTATCTGGATTTTAAAAATATACCAGTTACCCTCAACCAAATGTACCAGTTGCCTGAACTGAATGTACCGATTGCCCTTACATGTTTAACGGTAGCGTAAATAGAAATAATTTTTGGGGTGGGCTTTAGTAGACAGAAACTAGCAAGTGATCTATTACTTAGAAGCTATTGTCTACTATATATTTAACAGTTTCTATAAATATATTCGTATTTGTTATTTTTCAACAGGCTATAAAATATTATAACTTATAATAGTACCTAATAAAATATATTGTTGTTTTATTTAAAAAGACTGTAATTTTCGGAGGGGGTGCTGCAGCCCACAACTGTGACCACCCCTTATATACGCCAGTGCATGTTAATATATACTATATACACTATTAAAATATATGTATAGCCCGTAAAATATTGGAGGTGAATATACAAATAATAAATAAAATTATTTAAAATAGTATAAAATGATATTAAAAAATTCATATGCTTGGAATATATACCTAATATTGTATTTTGTAATAAATAATAATTACTAACAAAATAATATGATTACAATAGTCAAAAAAATAATAAATATTATAATTATGTGATATTCAATGTGATAATTTGTCAAAAAAAAGAAAAAATTTGATCTAATATTATGAACTATGTTTTCTTATAATAATTACTATTTATAATTACTTTTTGTATATTTACCTCCCCTATTTTATGGGCTATATATTTTAATCTAATACATATTTGCATATGAAAGCAAGTGGTACATTTGGTTGAGGGCAAGTGGTCCATTTTGCTCTAGGTAGTTTGGGAGGAATTGGTATAAAAAAAAAGATACTTTTAGGGGAAACTGGTGCATGTCCTAAGAAATGGCTAGAAAACCTGGCTTTTGTTATAGGTATACACGGGACTCATTACTATTAGTAAGTGGGACCTAATTATATTCAGTTTCCCGGTAATGAAAATGGACCCAGTACGCGCCTGGATATTACTATGAGTATATTTGATGATATTATTGTGAATAAAGTAATTTTTATATAACCTATTTGAGTGGAAACATGTTTTAAATTTTCAATCCTTAGATATATAATTTGGACATTTTATACATTTTTAACTAAAAATAATTATTTCATTTTGTCAAAATTCGAACTTTAAATGCTTATAAAAAAAAATGTGCCTATATAAATATTTTTAATTTTTTTCAACTGCAATTGTAGCAATATTATATCGAGAGTCTCTCTATATTATATTATATTAGAGTCTATTATTATATTTTTGTGCATTATTACCCAACAAATAAATTTTGTTGACAATTATAGATGCTATTGTAAATCGGCTCGACCCCAGATGACGCATTAGTGAGAGTGGACTCAGACAAGTGTAGTAGACGGACTGAATGAGAACTATGTGTGACGTATAGGTGCGCTATTTTTACTATTAACAACGACTTGTTATGCTTTATTTTAATACTTATATTAATTTTTTAGGATATATCAGTTATTAATATTTATAACTAACTTCTTAAGACTTAATACGATTTGAAAAATTTTAATATCAAAATATACCTAAGTACCTATCGGAAATATTAAATATACAATTCTATTGCATTTTCGAGCTTTTTGACCCAACGAATAAAATATTGTAGATAGGATTTAAAGAAAAGAAAACTTGAGTTCAAAACAAGTAAAAAAATGTCTAACTAAGGTTACTTGTTTTAGAGTTACACCAAAAACCAAAATTGATTTTGTCAAAAACAGATTTTGCGTAAAAATGACCGTTTTTCCTTAATTTTTGTTTTGTTTTTCGCTGCGCGTTTCAAAACTATTGAGAATTTAAAATGTTGACCTCCAGAATGCATCAATTAGATTCATTTTCCCATCAAATAAGATAGGTACTGTTGAAGAAAATCGAAGCAGTGTTACTGCCCAAAACGGTGATGACAGACACAAAAATAAAAATTTTCTAAAAAACACACACATCAATGTCAATATTTAATTCTCTTCGCTCAGAATCTAAAATTTGATATTATATTTATGTTATGTAATAATAAATACTTGACATTCGAGTTTAATTATTCATAAAAAAATGATATGCTTTATTTTAAATCGAATTAGTATTTTTCAGGATATATCAGTTATTAATTAATTACCAACTTCTTAAGACTTAATATGATTTGAGCATTAATTTGATTTTATAATAAAATTTTTCTATTTCTAAAAATCAATGATTTATTTATTTATTTACGACAACATTTATTTCAGTGATACGTACACGGCAAGTCGAAGGGCTCACTTGACCTCACACAAACAATAAATTACCTAGGTAGCTACGATAAAAATACCCAGATAATTTTGTATAGAACTTCATTAGGTGCCATTTGCTTCCATTCATCTATAGACAATGTAATGGTAAAATGTTTAGATGGTAAGTTTTTTACATTGTCACCACTATCACTAGATTCATCTATAAATATTAAATTATAAGTACCTACCTATATTTCATAAAATATTAACCAGTAGGTATATAATTTAGTAAATAAATAAAAAATCATAAATATTCTATATTAAGAGATTTAAGACACATTGCTATTCAAATTTTATTTTATTTTTGAAAATATTTTATAGTAATTTTATAGTAATACCAAATTCAACGATAAGCTCAATACTTTGAAGATTATTTTCAGATTCAAGTCTCTTGTTTACTATACTAATACCAAGCTTTTCATGTATACCATGGCGTCCTTGTTGAACAAATATATAAAGAGCACTTTTGCTAATAGAACCACCTAATCTATTACTGATATCTGACCATAAAGTGTTTGATGCTACAACAATTTCTAAAATAATAAGATTATAATTAAATTAAAATTCATGAATTAGCTTGAGAAAAAGTGGTTTTGTTTTTATATGTATTTATATAAAAAAAAAAAAATGTATAAACATGTATAAAAGGTACATAATACCTATATCACTAGATTTATAATATCACATGAAACAAAGACTAAAATTAACCATAATTATTTAGGCAGGTGCTTGTGATTTACCTAACTACTTACTTTTTATTAAACTAGGCAGTACTGTAGTAATAGACCTTCCTATACCATTGAAAATGTTTCATTCAAAAATTAATTTTTTACAGAGATTTTTTTCAATATGGAATTAAAGAGACTAATATACTTATAATCTACGATATGTGTTTACATTATTACTTTTTACACCATTGATTTATTCAAGTACTGCACTTTTATAGTAGAGATCCTTAGTGGATCCACTAAAGGTTTCCTCCCAACCATGATTTTGTATTATAATAAGCAAATTAAAAATATATTTTAGATACTAAAAAAGGAAAAATATAAAGTACTAAAAACTGTTTTGTCTCACTGAACTGTAAGTATAACACTACACGATGGTCGACTGTCAACTGCAGAATCGTGGCTAATGATAGGTACCTAATATTTTAAACCAAATTATTATACCTATTTTTAAACAATTGATTGTGCCTTTATAATATTACTAGTTTATCCTGTGCACTTCGTTGCCCTTTAAATGTACCAACTCTATATGACTCAAACTTTGTTCAATTCGTTACTTAATATTCGGTATATGGTGTTTAAAATTTATCTTAACTTTTCCGTTGCCCGGAATAAAAATTGTGATTCGCAGCAGTACATTATCAAGTAGGCAATCTGCCTGTAGATCGCGGACCCCGTGCTGTTAGTTCGTAAGTTTATGATTTAACTATAAAGTATTAAAGTTATAATAAGTTTGTCGTATTCCACCTATAGTCGATTAATATAATCAATTAATACAAAGTTCTAACCTAACCTAACCGTACTAAAATCCGTTAAATAAAAAAAAAAAACTGAATTTAACCATTTTTATATTAGCCTGTCATCTTCCCAGAGGTCTAATCTACACTCAAACATTAATTTATGTATATATATATATATATGTATATATTGACAAAAAATAATAATACAAATCAACAAACATGCCCGATTAACCAATAGCAACCAATATATACACTGGTGCTCCACTGTTGTATTTTTATCATCCAGATTTCCTACTCTTCCGGTAGATTTTCCTAAAATTTTCTTTCGTAAAAACCTTTCCCTGGAAATTACGAACATCTTAAAAAAAAATTTGAGGCAAATCGAACCAGCAGTTCTCGATTGATGAGGTAACGACAATTTTTTAGGCTCGATTTTTATATATATATAAATATAATGTTTTGGCTGATATATATATATATACCAATATTAGATATATTTTGTTGTCAAGAATACTAAATTTGTTTATCTACATTTTATATTAATTGTTTACTCATAGTCGACATATTTTTGAATAAATATTTTGACAATTGATTTTGTGCTTATAATACGCTAATAGTATATATTTTTGACTTTGTTCAACATATTTCTACTAAAGTATGCAGGGAGATAACAATATGCTTTTGGAATCGGAGACTTTCAATGGCGACGTATCTCACTACGGGAGAGCCGATGTCATCAGAGACGGGCTGAGTGCACCCACACCCGCACTTTGTCCGCGAATGCTCAACGTGAGCGAGCTGTTGACGCTAATATTGGACGATAGGACTGCACCAACAATTGGCCAATCGAATTTGGGAATGGCTTCAACAGAGGACGTACCTCGGTCCCGGCAATCGTGTATCAAAACCAACACAGCCGATCTACAACGGCCATCAACGGACACGCACGTTTTCAAGCCGAAAGTCGAACGTCCCGAAATGTCGTTGATTCACGGACGTTCGCTGGAACAGCGGCTTGTAAAGTCGTCGTCCTGTGTGGAATCGGAGACTTTCGATGACGACGTATCTTCCAACGGGACAGAAGATGTCGTCAGAGACGGGCTGAGTGCACCGACACCCGAACTATGTCCGCGAATGCTCAACGTGAGCGAGCTGTTGACGCTAATATTGGACGATAGGACTGCGCCAATAATTGGCCAATCGAATTTGGGAATGACTGCAACAGAGGACGTACCTCGGTCCCGGAAATCGTGTATCAAAACCAGCACAGCCGATCTACAACGGCCATCAACGGACACGCAAGTTTTCAAGCCGAAAGTCGAACGTCCCGAAATGTCGTTGATTCACGGACGTTCGCTGGAACAGCGGCTTGTAAAGTCGTCGTCCTGTGTGGAATCGGAGACTTTCGATGACGACGTATCTTCCAACGGGACAGAAGATGTCGTCAGAGACGGGCTGAGTGCACCGACACCCGAACTATGTCCGCGAATGCTCAACGTGAGCGAGCTGTTGACGCTAATATTGGACGATAGGACTGCGCCAACAATTGGCCAATCGAATTTGGGAATGACTGCAACAGAGGACGTACCTCGGTCCCGGAAATCGTGTATCAAAACCAGCACAGCCGATCTACAACGGCCATCAACGGACACGCAAGTTTTCAAGCCGAAAGTCGAACGTCCCGAAATGTCGTTGATTCACGGACGTTCGCTGGAACAGCGGCTTGTAAAGTCGTCGTCCTGTGTGGAATCGGAGACTTTCGATGACGACGTATCTTCCAACGGGACAGAAGATGTCGTCAGAGACGGGCTGAGTGCACCGACACCCGAACTATGTCCGCGAATGCTCAACGTGAGCGAGCTGTTGACGCTAATATTGGACGATAGGACTGCGCCAACAATTGGCCAATCGAATTTGGGAATGACTGCAACAGAGGACGTACCTCGGTCCCGGAAATCGTGTATCAAAACCAGCACAGCCGATCTACAACGGCCATCAACGGACACGCAAGTTTTCAAGCCGAAAGTCGAACGTCCCGAAATGTCGTTGATTCACGGACGTTCGCTGGAACAGCGGCTTGTAAAGTCGTCGTCCTGTGTGGAATCGGAGACTTTCGATGACGACGTATCTTCCAACGGGACAGAAGATGTCGTCAGAGACGGGCTGAGTGCACCGACACCCGAACTATGTCCGCGAATGCTCAACGTGAGCGAGCTGTTGACGCTAATATTGGACGATAGGACTGCGCCAACAATTGGCCAATCGAATTTGGGAATGACTGCAACAGAGGACGTACCTCGGTCCCGGAAATCGTGTATCAAAACCAGCACAGCCGATCTACAACGGCCATCAACGGACACGCAAGTTTTCAAGCCGAAAGTCGAACGTCCCGAAATGTCGTTGATTCACGGACGTTCGCTGGAACAGCGGCTTGTAAAGTCGTCGTCCTGTGTGGAATCGGAGACTTTCGATGACGACGTATCTTCCAAAGGGACAGAAGATGTCGTCAGGGACGGGCTGAGTGCGCCGACACCCGTGGTCGAGGTGATTTCAGCAGATGTTCCTCAACTTGTTCACCGCAGGTCACTGATATCGAGAGTTGGGAGACGACTGTTAAAATTCAGCAGGAGATTGTGTTGCTGGTGTGGGTAAAAATGAGAGAGCCGTGTATACCCCGTGAGTAGTATAAATATGTAGGTTCAGCAGCACATCCCCCTTAAATTTTACATGTAAAAACAAAGACACTTCTGTATAGGCAATTCGAAGTACAAGCACCTTCCAAACTTGTATTAATTACTCAATATAGGCAACCCGCAACACATTTACACTCGTCCCACACCTACAGTATAACAGGCAATTTTTCAATATACACTTTTTCTATAATATCGTGCATTACGAGATCAATATAATAGTAAAAATTATTTATACAATACTAAACCAAAATTCAACGAAAACTCCACGAGGTCCGAAATGTTTTATAAACACAAATTATGGATCTCGGAGCGTGTGATACATTTTCTACATTTTCTTAAAAAATTCCTTTACTTAAATAAACCTATTACCATTTAGTAATCAGTTCTATCACTAAAGTTCTCTGAAAATATTTTGCTAGTCCAATCGGTAGGATTCAATAGTAGTATAAATTCTACCTACATATTATATTTTGGAAGAAGATTGTGTTATAATTTATAGTTAAAATATATCATTATATTATTATTAACAACCACACGCTAGGTAATTAAAGTACTCTGCGAGATCCACATTATATCTATTGATTCCAATTCGTTACGAGATCCGTTAAAAAAAAAAACAAATTAACAATCTCACACACACACTAGGTAGGTAGTTAAACGTCTGTGCAAGATCCATATTATATATATTGATTTATTTTTTGAATTTCGTTACGAGATCCGTATAAATATATCATATTGACAACATCACACACACTAGGTAAGTAGGCGTGCGGACCTGAAACTTTTTAGGGGCATAGTAAAATGTCCGTATATATTTAAATATTTTATTATAATGCTTATATTATAATAGTTTGTTCGTAGATATTATGAAATCTTTAAAAATATCAAATTAACAACCTCACACACACACTAGGTAGTTAAGCTTCTGTGCGAGATCCACGTTATATAAATTTATTTTTTTTAGGATGAAAATAACACTAGAATACCAAATGTAAAATAGCACATTACGAGATCTATAGCAGTGTACATTTTGTGTATTCTACATACACATTTTGTTGGTCAAGGTTGTGTTAGTTTAAACATAGTTATCATATTCGATTTCTCACTCACACAAAATAGTTAAGTCGGTGGCATAACTGGATAAAAACTGAAGGTTAAAATAATTTATTTTATTTATCAAAATCCAAACTCTGACCCTTACATACACAAATATTTTAAATATACTTCAATATAGTTTATGTATAACAAACCGTAGGTACCCTTATTGATTAATAATAATAACTACCAAGGCCGTGGCCGTGGATTGCAAACATTTTTTTTTTTTGGGGGGGGGGGGTTAATTTGATTATAATATATATCGATGGCTAAGAGGCCAAAAGTTGTATGTCCAATATTTTTCTCAAAATTGTTTTTTTAGTTCATAGGGTTTATCTGGGTCGTCTTTTTGATTCAGTAAAACATTATAAGTCAATATCATGATTTAAACATTTATACTTTAATTTTTGTGTTTTTAGTGAAGATATGTTTTTTTAGTGCACACATATAACAAGTCCTAATTTAATGAGACATACGATAAATATTTTAACATGATCTAAATATTAAGGGGACAAATACAACAAGTCCGGACTTGTTACTTTTGTCAAAAACAATTTATTAAATTTTGGACGTGTAATGTTTTAGATAATATTGAATTTGTTTATCTATTTATAAAAAAATAATATGTCCGGACGTATTATTTTAAATAATACAAATTTTTAATTTTAAATTACACTAAATAATATGATATCTTAACTTAGCATAAAATATCATTAAACACTGGTTTTATTTGACTAAAAATTTGATGAAAAATGCTACTTTATTATTTTTCACATTCAATAAAAAATTCCAATATATTTTATATTTTTTACTTTTTTACTGCAATTTATAAACAAATTTAATTTTTTATATTGAAAAAATAAGTCTTACATACATTTTAACTATTTATGTAATAAATTATTTAGAGTTTATATTAAATTTACAACTTTTAATATGTCCATCAAAACCTTATATATGTCCACGGTAAAAATATATTATAATTGCCATTCATAACAAGTCCCATTTAAATTTAAAAGAAACATTATAATTACGTTTGAAAAAATTTTAAAACCTAAAAGTAATAATTTATGTAATCTACAGAATATTTTACAAATAAATCAGTTGCAACACCGAAAAACAAAAATCTACAAAGCAAATTATTTGGTGTAGAATAATTTAAAATCTTAAAACTGCTCTCCCGAAAAATTTAGTGTTTGGGACATACAACTTTTGGCCTCTTAACCATCGATATTTGACTAACAAGTTTAATACGTATATAACCTTATAAAAATGTGTTGTTGGCGGTGGGGTATCTGACCCCCCCCCGTCTACAACCTTGATAAGTAATAAAAGTTAAAAATAATTAGAGTTAATTATTAGTTAATTAGTTAATAGAGTTAAATAATAAAATGTTAGGAACATCTGGGGTTGGGGGAAAAATAATACTATTGTCCTCCAAAAAAGTTTCATGGAAGGCAAGTCTCCTCTTGTCCTCCAAAAATAGTCATGTTTTTTTTTGTGAATTGATTCATTTTTTAAATCATTGTACGACGAACGCAAAATATAAATACAAACATGGCAAAATCCGCTAGTGGATCTCGTTGCGTACCCTTCGTAAACCCATACATACATACATACATAAAAATAGTATACAGTTTTCTTATTATATAATTACATACGAAAAATCGAATCGCTAAAGCATACGTTATACACCGGAATGTATCTCAAACACACACATACACAAACTTGTAAAAAATTATATTTTTCAAAATATACACGTTAAAGTATATTACATTCATTATAATAAACACCTAAACATACTATAAAACTTACATATTATTGTATTATATAATATAATCATGTTTTATTCCCATACATGGCACATATATACAGAATTCATACATAAATAGGTACTTTCATATTATATACACCATCACACACATCTAATCTTGTTATATAACTTACATATCAATATAAGACACTTCGTTACATATAGACACACTTATACATGAAATACATACTTTAAAATACTTAGTCACATTTACATAGATGCATTTAAACATTCCAATACATCCACCCTAAAAAGTATTTTCAAAAGTACAACATCGCTCATCAATTGGTTATATCTACTACTACAAAATTGTTATCATCTAATTGTAATCATCTAGATAGTTCAATTCTATTAGATCAGACCATAATACCTAAGCTTAAACACGCATATTATAGAAAAATATCTCAATTTAAATATGTAGATCTACCTATATTTT